GCAGATCACCTTGTGCAACCATCCCAGTTCAAGAGGCCACCTAAAACAGGTTGACTCATGACCATCCCAGATGACTTTTGAGTATCTCCAACGTGGGAGACTTCACAGCCGCCCAAGGCAACCTGTGCCTGCTCAGCATCCTCACAGTACAAAAGTGTTTCCTGCTGTTCAGAGGGTCCCTCCCATGTTCCAGTTTGTACTATTGCCTCTTGTCCTGTCACTAGGCACCACTAAGAGTCTGGCTCTATCACCTCTGCACCCTCCCTTCCAGTATGATATATGTTGCTAAGGTCTTCCCCTGAGCCTCTTCTCTAGGCTGAACAGTCTGAGGGAGACGCTCCAGTTCCTTCACCACGCTCACTGGTTCACCCTCCACTGGACAGTCTCCAGTATATCCACACCTCTCCTGTTCTGGGGAGCCCAGCACTGGACACTTGTGCAGCCTCACCAGCACCAAAGGGGAAGGATCACCCTGAAGCTACACAAGGAGCCACATTAAAGCTGCGAGAGTGGAAACACAAGGAGGACACTTTCCCTCAGGACCACAACTCAGCACGTACCAAAAGACTGATCCACACCACCTGCCAAAGTCACAACCCCCACCACGTATGTGGGTGAGCATCACAACAGGCAAATTAAAAGCCAAGAGAATGATCAGCTTGGTGATTTTGAAAACCACACTGTGAAGATCAAGAGCATTTTGGTTGCTGAGTACTTGGTATTTCCCACCCAGTAACAGAAAATTCACCCTGTACTGGGCATGGAAGAGTCTGAACAGCGTGACCTACACTCCTGAAGGAGTGAGAGTGAAGTGACTCACTGCTGCTTGCCAGGCTGGGTCTTCCTACACACCTGATGTCAGCTCCATGGCTCCTTGGTTGTAAGGCACAGTGGGCAGATGTTGGGACAGAGCAAGGCCACCTGGCCTTTCCTGACCAGGTCATTCAGTTTAGGATTAATTCTCATTCACACACATGCCAAATTCCAGCCAAAGTGGGATTTTCCCCAAAATGGCCCAGAACAGTTATTATCAGGTTAAAACACTTTACTCTCCTGTTTAAGGCCACAGGGATTTTTATTTATGCAGACTTTGAGACAACATTTTTAATTTAAGCCTATGCGTTCTGCTTCAGCTTTGGAGTTTAAATTAACCACAAAGGTATGTTTAAGACTGTATGAGATGATTTATTCTACACCACACATTCTTTAAGGAACACTTGCTTCAGAATTACCAACACAAGCAAGTCAGCTATTCCACCGAGACACTCTGTGTCACCGTCCCAGTTCTTCAGAACCCATTTTAACAAGTCCAGGAGGGACAAACATTTCAAAAGACAGAGCAAAACCCCAAGATGCGAGTCTCCTCTTATGTCAGAGCCAAGACCACTTCATCATGCTACTGACAGAGGAAGGAAAAACTTTTTATGCAGCAGTCTGCAATAAAAGTGCTCCAACAGAACAGCTCTGCACTACCTCGCCCAGGGCAGGCTCCCAAGCCAAACGCTCCAGATGCCCTCTGGAGCACCAGGAGCCAAGAATTTATACCTTTACCACATCACTGGGACCATTATACAGCACTGACAATTTTTTCAAAGCCTTTCCACCAAGAAGTGGCACTGTAGATTAATAGGAAGTCACTGCACCCCTTCTCCTGCCTCCTTGCAAGCTGGAATGAAACACATGCTCATGTACCAGACATTAGTGGCAACACAACATCTACTCCTCAGGAGCTGCTGAACACTGCCCAGGGGGAGGAAGCCGTGGGTGATAAGGTGCTTCCTAGAAGGACTGCTTCTAGACTTCCCCCCCAGCAGAAAGTACACTTTATACCTGTGTTCTAGTTATCTGTTTACAGATTTTCAGCTCACACAGCTCACTCCCCAGAGCATCTCCTTCTAAAGGGTGGCACCATTTAGGAAATACTTTAAGAAATCTACACTACAAACACTGAACTGCTGCTCTGGAAGTGATGTGAGCTTCATGCTGAACAACCTAGGTCTTATTACTTGTGTTAAGTAAGCTAACAACAGCTTTTACTGCTAGCATTGATGAGGCTAACAGTTACTAGAGAGCTGGAATAACTCCGAAGTCTGTAATGACACAGCTCTAACCTGACCAAGAACAAGATTTCCACCCTAAAAGATTCCAGTGGAATTTATTTATACTTGTCCAAGATGGGAATGCCTCTAAGCATCAGCTTAAGTTGAGGTCTGCTTTCCAACAGGACACCCCTGTTACTTCTGAGGGGAAGTCTCTGAATTTCTGTACAGACACCTGTAAGGATTTATTTGCTGCCTTTAATTCCTTCATGAAATGGGCACTGAGGGAACTCAGAAGAGTTATCACCAGTCAAATCCAAAGTGTTCTGCACGTAGGACTTTGTACACTCACAAGAGGAAGGGGTTTGCACGTTCCTATGAGTTCTTTGCCCATGAGTGAAAAACCATCAGCAACACAGAGACACCAATCTCAGGGAACACACTTCAAGGAGGAGATGGGAAGGGGCCAAGCTGCTCAGAATGGCCACACTGGTGCCATGTCCTCCTCTGGCCAAGCCAGGAGGAAGCAGTTGGAAGAGTTATCCTGCAGTTCAAGGCAGGGAATGGGAGATGGAGACATTCAAAGCATACCCCAACTGTATTTGGGTTCCAAAACAAATGTTCAGATGTATTTTGTGAGTCATTAAAGCTCACAGCTGCTCACAGGCAGCTCGCTGATGCCCTCAGCTAGCACCTGAAATTCACCTCTTCCAGCTGTCCTAATTGCAGTCTATCTCCCTGCACTCCCAAATATTCTACCTACCCCCCATGCCTACAGCCATTTCAGACTCTCTAAACCAGAAGGTACCACGTCACATCACACGCTCTCCAACCACAGCTGTCTGAGCACTACACAGAAATTTAATCAAGACATAATAGACCCCAAGTACTTGGTGCTCCTCACAGAAGCCACAAGTTGACTGAAAGCACCTCTAAGGAGATGCTGCATCAGCCTCACCAGCATCTTCCCCTCCCCGATTCCATTTCTCCAGCCTCCTCACCTCACACTAAAGAACTTCAGCGTTGTGCACTAGTGGATTCAATTCTATCATGAGACAAGGCAAGAGATTATTTTGCCTCTTCTCCCATTTCTGCAACTGCAGAAACCTTTACCTGGACAGAGAATTTAACTGGACACAGAATTGCTTCAGCATGAAAAGATCTTTAAGATCATCAGGTCCAACTGTTACCTAACACTACCAAGTCTACCACTGACCCGTGTCCCTCAGCACCACATCTCCACAGCTTGGAAACCCCTCCAGGGATGGGGACTCCACCACTGCCCTGGGCAGCCTGGCACAGGCCTGGACAACCCTCAAGGGGAAGAAATTGTTCTCCAGCTCCAACCTAAACCTCCCCTGGGGCAACCTGAGGCCATTTCCTGTTGCTTGTTCCATGGGAACAAGCTCCCCTGGCTCCAGCCTCCTGTCAGGGAGTTTTCAGAGCCAGAAGGTCTCTCCTGAGCCTCCTTTGCTCCAGGCTCAGCACCCCCAGGTCCCTCAGCTGATCCTCGCCAAACTTGGCCTCTAGACCTTTCCCCAGCAGCTTTGTTGCCTTTCTCTGACCATGCTCCAGCCCCTCAATGTCCTTCTGGGAGTGAGGAGCTCAAAACTGACCCCAGGATTCGAGGTGTGGCCACACCAGTGCCCAGTCCAGGGGGACGATCCTGCCCTGCTCCTGCTGGTCACACTAGTGCTGATCCAGGCCAGGATGCTGGTGGCCTCCTTGGCCACCCAGGCACACTGGCTCACGTTCAGCTGGCTGTCCACCTGCATGCCAAGTCCTTTCCCACCAGGTGCTTTCCAGCCTGGGGCGTTGCCAGGGGTTGTTGTGACCCAAGGGCAGCCCTTGACCTTGTTGAACCTCACACAATTGACCTCAGCCCATGGATCCAGCCTGGCCAGACCCCTCTGTAGAGCCTTTCTACCCTCAAGCCCATCTATGCTCCCATCCAGCTTCCTGTTATCCACAAACTGCCTGAGGGTGCCTCGACTCCCTTGTCCAGATCACTGATAAAGACATTAAACAGAACTGGCCACACCCTGAGACCTGGGGACACCACTCATGAATGGCTACCAACTGGATTTCAGTCAATGCCCTACGACCCTCTGGGCCCAACCATCCAGCCAGTGTTTGATCCATCCCAGCCACGAGGAGCCAGATTCTCCAGGAGGGTGCTGTGGGTAGGAACCTGCACGAGTTCAGTTATGATGTCCAAGGGAAGGGCACCAAGAGTCATCTGAACCAAAACGTGTCCCAGCACATCACACGTAGTACAAGAATTACAGGCAACAGGATAGCCTCAGAGCTAGGACATGATGTGAAAGATACTGTAGTTACATGTGTGGCAACTGCAGCATTTAATTACAAAGACGGTGTGAAGCTATGGGACAGAATGGTCAAGACATGGTCCATGCACAGAAGAGACCCAAAATAACACTCGATAGCTCTGGATAGATCTACAGACTGTATATCTACATTTTCAGTGGTGTGAAAACTCAAATTCAAATCTGGCTCTTCTTTCAAGGTGTTCAGAGCCTGCCATTTACATTAAACTTGAATCCTTTACCAGGCAAAGGAGCTATCATTCCAGGGCCCCACAAGCTAACACAGTTCACAGGCATCGAGACTGCTTTAGCTGAAGTACAGTGCAAACTACTCAAGTTCAAGTTGTCATGTTCCTCTAGTGTTGAGATGCTGAGGTGAGGTGGCAAAGATGACGTCCTTGGTGCAGTCAGACTTGTCCAATCCCCTGGCAAAGACAAAATATCCCTGGGCTCACAGGGATAACAGGCTGTCCAGAGCACCCCACGCTCTGAACTGGCTGTGAGCTAGCTGGGAGTCACGAGACCCAAGCAGTGACCACAGAAACAGCTGACAGTTCAGGAATGCAGCAGGTTTTTACATTCTAAATCAGGAATTCATTTCAGCAGAGTAAAATTAAATGAGCATTGGAGGTACCTTTTGAAATAGTTAGTGCTGGGGACCACTGCGATCGTAGGATATCAAGACAAATGCTGCCATTACTGTTAATATTTGGATGATAGATTCTTGTTGTAAATGCAACCTGCAGAAGAAGGAAAATTTCAGTGTAGGCTCACAGAGACACATCACACGGTAACAAACAGGTTTATGGTACAAGCTGCTCACCTTAGGTGGTTTGAAGGGATAATCTGTCGGGAAGTGAATTGTCAAGAAAAATACTCCACCTTGATAGGGACTGTCATTCTGTTAACAAAACAGAAGCATTGCAGTTTGCAGAGTTATTACCAGAAGACTACTCACACAAAGCTATGAATATCAGTTCTCTCATACTTACTGGTCCCATTATTGTTGCCTGCCAGTGGAACACTGAAAAAGAGAAAGATTTACTTCAGTTTGGAGAAGCTCAAGTAATGAACTACTTTCTTCCAGACAAAGCAGCACAGAAAAGTCTATTTTAAAACCAAAAGCTTCTGAAAAGCTGTGGGGAAGCAAGCCAAAGAATTAAACAGAGCCAGAGCCAAGAACTCCCCACTTGCTTGGTCCACACTTTGGGACTGCTGCGGTACCACACACATGCCCTGCAAAAAATCCCATTACAACAACAACCCAGACAGTTACAGCCAAACTTCCAGACCCAAAAAATTGTTGAGTTCCACTCTGTGGTTTCAAATGAAGCAGGTGAATCAAAGCCCAGCCTCCAATGACCACCACCCTCTGAGAGACCAACAGTAAAGGTACAGTATGAACTGATCCTACCTTGGGTCTCTCCTAGACAGACCCATATGAATGGAGAATAAGCCCAGCTTTGTGAAGGGGTAATCTAAGTCAGTGTTAGCTCAACCGAGTGTTTAAACTCTCCACAATGTTTAAAGCCACCACAGAGGCCTCAAGATTTCATTAAAGCATTCATTAAAGTCTGACTCCTATACATTTGTCCAAAAGAAGACCCTACTCTGGTAACACAAAAGATTTGTGAGTAATGTCATTATGCTGCAGGACACAAGGAAAACAATCAGAACTGTTTAACTGCATGAGGCATGTGGGGAAGTTCTCGGGGTTCCTCGTCCTCCAGAGGCTCTGAAGCCTTGAGAAGGGCACCACCTTCCCAAGTTAGCTGTGAAACAGTAGGACTTGTTTGGGGTTAGACCAAAACTGCTTCTGGTCACTGGTTTTGCATTTCAGCTCACTCTCTTCTCACTAACTGCACTGTCTGAAGTGAACAGCAGATTTCTGCAGTGTCTGCTTCCAGCACTGACAGTGCTCCACAGTTAGTTACCACCAAGTAACAGTCTGGGGCTTCCCCACTGCCTGCCCCACAGCACCAGTGGTGATGGTGATGTCATTGTCACTGGGGGCTGGATTCAATACTCATTTTGTATATATTTGCATTTATTCCACTTTATTATTTTCCTTAAAGATGTTTTACTTTCCCAACCTCAAAATGTCCCTCTCTCTTACTCCCTTTCTCTACCCCTGCAGGAGGGGTGGGGAGTTAACAGGGAGGGTGTGTTAGAGGTCTGGGGGCAGCCTTGACCCCAAACCATGGCGGCACCACAGGAAACTTCCCTCTGCATGGGTTCCAGCCAGCTCCCCAGTTCTGAAGAGAAGACTCCAGTTGTTGCAAGGTCAGTCTTGTAGAACAGCTGCAGTGTAGGCTCACAAATGTGCCTTACACCACAGAAGCTGAAGCCACCAGCAGCTGTGAACTTATCTTGCAACTGCTGTCTAAAGCTTTTAAGATGACCTGGGCCAGAACGACTTCCGGCCCCGAGTGGCAGGACTTGCTCTCATCTGGCATGAGGAGTTTTTAATTACAGGTGGTACAGGCATCATGGCTGGGAATGATCTCATGCAAAGAAGGGAAAACCAGCTGAGTGGGGACAGCCTTGGCAGAGCAAGGGGAGGAGAATGTTTGGTTAGAGCAGCAGGTTTGTTATGAGAGGTGCTGAAGCCTCTGGAGAAGCTCCACATTCAGAGGAACCAGGAAAACCAGGCAATGGCTCACATGTAGCATTCATCCATTTTTGAAGGATTCCCACAGCTTTGCACTTAGTCCCTATCACCTGGAGCAGGACAGAGGGGAAGCTGGAGCACAGGGGTAAAGGGGCTGCAGAAACCCAGAAGTGAAGATTGTGGCTAATCGCAGAAAAGCCACTGAGAACTCCACAGGCACCAGGAGAAGCTGATAAGATTCACTGTGACTGCACTGGAATACACAGACAGCCCTGATCTTGGCCTGCAGACCTCTGCACACTGGAAAGAGAAGCTGACCTAACCAACAATCATCTTAAACCCAACAAGAAAACTGGAAGAAAAACACTTTCACAGGGAACCTTCACCTTTCACAAGCTAGAAGGGTGGTTTGGCTGATTGTTGACTTCCCCAGCTCCCACTCCAGACTCAAGGAATGTGCTCATTTAACCTAAGCCTGGGATTCTCACAACACCCAGGACAAGTATGATGAACTATCAGATGGATTTATCATCTTATTTCTCTACTCTTTACTTTGAAATCAGCCACTCAAGAAGTTCCTCAAGAAGGAAGAGGGTTGCTGACTTCCAGCAGCACAGCACCCAGGACACTCCTGTCATCCCATCCAAGCACATTCCCAAACCCAAGGCAAGAGGTGGGTGAAAAAGGGTTAAACACACATTCCCAAGAGAGAAAAATCTTGTCCCTACAGTTAACAAGGCAGACACAGCTCTTCACTTCCCGAAGTTTATGAACTACAGGGAGGAGAAACTTTGACTGTGGGCAGTTTGCATCATCTGGAGAAGCCACAAGACACCACTCTGCAGGCAGAGCACATCCTGAGCTCAGAGACATTGTCCTGAGAAGGCAGCTGAGGCACACTGAGGGCTCCAGGACCTCAGAGCCACCTGCTCACACTCCAAGTGTTGCTCTCAAGGGTGAAAGTCTTTCACTGGAGGCCTTTCAGAAAGGTGCCATGAGGAGAACCAAAGAAGACATTAAAGCTTCCTGTATTCTGCTGCAACTTTCCCCTGCAAGCATTCACCAGCTGATGTCCACCACTCCTCCTCCATCAGCTCTGGTAGCTTTTGGAAACTCCAGAGTAGTTGATCATGGCACAAATCACACTTGCTAATTTAAGGGAACAAAAGCCTCAGACTGCCTCGACGTCTCAGTAGCTTCTCTTCCAAGAAACTACAAGTTTCTTTGAAATACTGTTCTGAGAGCAGAAGCAAGATGTAGAATCACTAGAAGCTTAACACTACTGCCAGAGCCCCTGAAAACCAAAGACACTTTCACTTGTTTGGGAGCACTGCTGAGTAGCAACATCTGCAGTAGTTTCAGTATCTTCATTCTGAGGTTTCAGGTGGTTTTTATAACCTAGTCCTAGATTTCTATAGGAACGTGTGAGTTTCTTCACACGTCACCACTTCTGAACAGCTCGCAAGTGATTCAGAAAGACACCGGCAGCTCATTTTTTCCTTTTCATAGAATCATTGAGGTTGGAAAAGACCTCTAAAGATCATCAAGTCCAACTGTCAACCCAACACTCCCATGACCACTGAAACCATGTCCTCAAGTCCCACATCCACACTTTTTCTGAATCCCTCCAGGGATGGGGACTCCAGCACCTCCCTGGGCAGCCTCAGCCAATGCCTCACCACTCTGCCAGGGAAGAAATTCTGCCTAATATCAAATCCAACCCCCCCCCAGTGCAACTTCAGCCCATTGCCTCTTGTCCCATCACTGGTTACTTGGGAGAAGAGACCAACCCCCACCTTACTCCAATCTCCTTTTAGGAAGCTGGAGAGAGCAACAAGGTCTCTCCTCAGCCTCCTCTACTCCAGGCTAAACACCCCCAGGTCCCTCAGCTGCTCCTCACAAGCCATGTTCCCCAGACCCCTCACCAGCTTCGTTGCCCTTCTCTGGACCCACTCCAGCCCCTTAAGGTCTTTCTCATCCTGTGGTGCCCAAAAGTGACCCCAGGACTCAAGCTGTGGCCTCCCCAGTGCTGAGTCCAGGGGCACCATCACTGCCCTGCTCCTGCTGGCCACACTAGTGCTGATCCAGGCCAGGATGCTGGTGGCCTCCTTGGCCACACAGTCACACTTCTGCTCATGTTCAGAACTTCAGAAAGGATTCCTAAGCTTAGAGCTCTTAGTGCATAGATGGAAAGTTTCCCTCACTCCACATCCCCTGCTCTCCAGAGCTCGGGTGCCTTGCTGGAGGGCACACAGGACACAGTGAAGTTCAGTGGGCATCCCAGGCAAAGCTCCCAAGTGCTCTTATATAGCCTGTTCTACACAGCAGAGCTGTTGCAAGTAAGAGTTTAAACACCTTCCTTCATCTCAGTCATGAAATACCAACACATTTAACACGTGTTAACACATGTAACATGTGCAAGGACTTGAATTGACCCCAGAGGCCTTGGTAAAGCTGTAAAGCAACAGGCAGATTTGCAACTGTTCTAGTCACTGCAAGCATCCTGACCTTGCTCACCTAAGACAGGACCAAAAGTTTAATGCTGCTATAACCCCCCAAAAATAGTTCACCAGGAAGCATAAAGTCCTGGTTGATAAAAGCAGCGTTGTCTCTCACAGAAAATCACCCTCAAGTGCAGGGCAACAATGAAGCTGCCTTATTGACAGCTCATCAAAGCAGGCAGAGCAGCATTACCTACAACTATGAGAAAGAACCATCCACATAAACACCATGAAGTTCCAGGATCTCTCCTGCCCACTCCCTAGGCACAACCACAGGCACAAGGTGACAGCAGATTTCCTTGCTATAAAAAGACATTATACAAAAAAAAAAAAATCAGGGTAGGACTTTAAAGGATAGCAGCTTTTTTTCTTCTTTAACAGCTCCTGGAGCTTTAGAAGGACAGAATAACAACTCCAAATCACACAACAGGTGAACAACCATAAGCAGGAAAGACACCCCTCTGATGTGTGGGCTAGAAGGTTGTCCCAGGGCAGGGCTTGGGTGAAACCTGTCAGGGCCAGCTAAGCAGTTTGCCATCATCACAGTATCCTGGGATTTAAGGCTGCTCCACCAGCTCTTCCCACCTCACCTCTGTCCAAACCAAGCCACAAGTTCACCATGACACCACGATTTGGATTTTGTTTATTGAGAAAGCCACAAGCAGTATTCCAAATGGAGGGAAATCCTGCCTAAAACTGAAGAGCCCAGCCTGTTTTTCAGTCCTCAAGCTCTGCTGTGCTCTGAAACCCAACAGCACAGAACAGCTTCGAGAACAAGCAGCTGCCAGCATCCCTACAACTTAGCTGACCACAGCAGCCATTAAGCTTCTAAAATCTAACATTACTTCACAATTCAACCTTTAATTTACCAACTAGCTCTCCATCCATTCACATTTTAACCTCTTATCCCCAAGGACTTCACACAACCCTCTTCAAAAACTCATGTGCGACGTAGTTAGCCCATCCCTTGTTGTACATGCACCTGGTATTAGCAGATTGTTTCACTTTTCTAGGACCAGGTGACCACACCACACAGGGTTTAGGCATCAGAAGAGTTCAGAAAGAAGCCACACACAGCTGCTGGCTTGGCCACCAAGCTGCTGAAGTTCCTAACTTCATGAGAAGCCAGAATGGTTAATTCAGGTGTAACTTAGGATGTGCTCAGTGTGGGAGCAACACATTTCTAGCGATGCACAAGGAAGGGATTAAGAGATACAGAAGGGTAAGAAGTTTAAGAGTAGTGTCTAGTACTCTATCATTTGAGAAGGAAAAGGAGCAAAGTGAGAGCCCACAGGAATTGGTTGCTCATCCCATACTTACTATCATCCCCGACAGGCCCTGCCGAACACTGCGCTGGAGGATCACGTGCCAGGTCATTCAACTCCTGAAAACACAACACAGGGTTATTTCATTTCATTTCAAACCCCACCACAATGCCCCTGCTCAGGGACATAACGATCCCACGCATCCCTGAGGGAGCACGTTCTGCTCTCTCCAGGTCACAGGGACAAGATGGCCTTGATCCCACCGCTCTCAGCCTCAGTTTTATTTTATCTCCTGGATTGTGAAGCTCCCAGGTTGCTCCAGTGATCTAGTTTAGCACCTCAAGCCTGTTGCAGCCTTTTGGCAGGACACAGAACTTCAATAGTCCACAGTTATTTTGTCTCCAGATGTCTGCATCAGTGAATATAGGTGGTTAAGTAGAGTAAGCCACAAGGGCTCCTCTACCTGCAGCCCACATAGGGAGAGCCCCACTTGGAGTAGCTCTGCCAGTCACATTTTCATCTGAAGCCCTGTTCTGAGTCTCATAGAGACCTGAGGCTTGAGAGACTCACCTCAGCTCTGGCTGGACAGGCTGAGTAACTCCAAACATTTCTGAAGATGTCTTAACTACACCAAGTTTCAATCTGAAGCACAATTTCAGCCCAGATCAGGAGGAGCCCACACACTGCCACCAGTAACTCGGGTCTCTGTCAGAAAGTGGCCGTTTAGTGGGAAGGGCAAGTTGAGCAAAACTCCCAAGTCCACCTTGGTCTGCTCTGTTTCTGGTGTGGCCACAGCCCTGCTTTGCATGACCTGCCCAAACGCATCGACTTCCTTCTGTGCCAGCTCAGCCTGGAATGCCAAACATGACGGCAGACAACTATTGCGAGGACAACTAAACCTTCAGGAAATGCTCTCAAGATGTCCCCAGCCCTTCTCACCTCACCTCCTGCAAGGGTGACCAGCAGGAACCCACAGCGAGCCTCAGATACCAGATTTGGATGGACACAGCATTTAAGGACAATCACCAAGACAAGCAGATTGCAGGAATGGGAGAAGCTGGTGCTTCATGGCCTTTTGTTATCTACAGGCAGTATTTAAGCTCTTGAACAGAT